AAACTTTAACAAGAATATTTATTATACTTTTTTGAATAAAAAAAAACCTACCATTTTTTTTTTACTTTTAAAAATAGAATAATTTTATGAATTTAATTTTTTTTCTCATTTTGAAAACGATCTCATTGTTATGAACATTAGATGAATTATTTTTTTCTTCTAATATAACCTGACATTTTGAAAATATATATATCAAAGAAAAAAAAAGATTTCATTTATTGTTTAATTTAAAATCTTATATTCATTCATAACTAAAAATAGTATACTAGATAATTATTTATTAAACTAATCATAAATATTTTGTACTAAGCGTACCTCTAGGTAATTTATTATTTTACAATATAAAACAAAATGTGTTTAATTAAAAATAATGGCGTATTTTTATTTTTAGTGAATATAATAAATAACTATCATTATTAAATTTGACTACTGCGGTATCCATTAGTTTATTGAAATAGATGCTGTTCAATAAAATTCAAAAAAATCTAGAGTTCTCGTAGAAAAGTTAATATATAGATCATTAATATTATAATAAATTCTATGATTCGTGAAAAATTAATATGACATATAATCAAATACCAATGATGTTGTATATGAAAATTTTAGATGCATTGAACTATTTATAGATATATTATTCTTGGCAGGGTTGTCGCGAACTGGAGGGTGTGATCCTCCTAAAATCTGAGTTTTGGTTGAATATTCTGTTCTCTTCCTCCAATCCTAAAAGGTTCGCGACAATCAATTATTTGAAATTACGTAAAATTCTGATAATACTATACTGAATACACTTAATAAGTATTATTAAAATCTTAGCTTTGTCTAATTTCCTATTTCAAAACTATTGAATAGGCTAGACTTCTAGCTATACACTTGACAGATAAATAGAAATAAACGATGGACTTTTTTTTTGTCTTCGAAAGAATTTTGTCTTTCCTTATCAATTATCTAGTTTCTTTTTGTCGCTAGTCTTCATTACATAAACTGTTATCAAAATGCATGCTTGGTCATTTCTTTAGGTAATATTTTTTGTTTGAGTTCATGGATCAAGTAATGACAAGATCTAGTAGTACAGAAGATCTCTGTTCAATAGATACAATAGATGCGGATAATACATTATCATTACCTATTCATCAAATAGATCCTGGAGATGTTCATAATCAAAATAAAGAACTTCAAAAACGAGTAGAAGAATTAACTAAACAATTAAAAGAAAGTATGAAAAGAATACTTGAAATATTAAAATTAAAAATTTTCTTTAGGTAAATCATCTGAAAAACGTGCTAATGATGAATATGAGAAATATTATCAAATGTATAATCGTACAAACGAACGTTTTGTTACATTTGAACGTAAACAATTAGATCAAATGCATCGTATATTAAATAAACTAACAATAGATCAACATAGAACATTTGCTGGTAAATATCAATAATTTTTTTTTCAATATTTTTTTTCGATTGTTTTATTGTAGTAAATCAAGATAATTATCTACGTCCACGTCGAGCTTTTACTAATCCTTCTACATCTATTTTATTACCATCTTTATCAAATCAAGATCAAGAAGATATAAATTCAACAGAAACTGATTTAAATAAAACTGAAAACGAATGGACAGCTTTACTGACACAGGTTCGTTCTGTCGATTGGAAAATTTCTTATACAATCATTTCTTTATATATATGTAGATATCCGATATAATGGAATTTTCAGAAAAATTTACTGATAAATATTCTCAACAAACTGATGAAAATAATCAATTACGTTTATTAAATCATCAAAAACAAGATGAAAATATCAAATTACTTTTTGATATATCATTAATAAAAGCTGAATATGAACAAGAACAACAAAAACGTCATCAAGTCGAACATCAATTTGATGAAGTTAATAAAGGCATCGAACAAGTAGAGTTTTCTATTTAAAAAATATTGAATATCTTAATAACAGAAAAAAAAAACAATTTTTTTTAGGATCGATCCAAACGTTTGCAAAAATTAAGAAATTATGCAACATTAGCTGATGATGAAGGCGACATATTGGTACATAATTATTTATTTAAACATCCACAAATAATCTTTAGTTAAAAAAAAATCATAATTCATTCTGATATTATCTTACGAGGAAACCTCACCAACTGATACACTCCATCTGAACTCATACTAGACCCAAAAGCAAGTCTTAGTGAGACTAGAAAAAACCTAAAAGGGTTTCTGTCCATAGGCCTTTAGAGCCGAGTTATAGCCTTTTTACTGAATTTTTGACCATTTTTCGATATCGAGCAAAAAATCAAATAACAGAGTATTGAGCTGAAACTTTGTTCATAGACAGGTCTAATCATCTGTAGACTATCCTGAATATTTCACCTAAAAAACTGTTCCTTTGTCGAGATAGTGGATATTCAAGTAAATTGGCTTTTTGTTCCTTGTCTGTGATAAATGATGATTTTTTTCACAAATTCCATATTTCAACAAAGAAACAGTTTTTTCAGGTGAAATATTCAGGATAGTCTACAGATGAGTAGATCTGTTTATGGACAAAGTCTCAGCTCAAAACTCTGTTATTTGATTTTTTGCTCGATATCGGAAAAATGGTCAAAAATTCAGTAAAAAGACTATAACTCGGCTTCAAAGGCCTATGGGTAGAAACCCTTTTAGGTTTTTTCTAGTCTCACTAGGACTTGCTTGTGGGTCTAGTATGAGTTCAAATGGAGTGTGTCAGTTGGTGAAGTTCCCTTGTTAGAATTTTGTCGCATTATGTTGTATATTCTAGTTATCAAGTTTAATGAAGAAAGCTGAAAAAAATGATACTGATTTTCGTGAGATAAAAGTACATTATGAAAATTTATTTATGGAACAAGTTAATCAAACAAAAAAGTTAATCAAAGAACGTGAATTATCACAATTACATATTCAAAGACTTGAACAAGAAAATATTCTACTTGCTTCAAGAACAAATAATGATGAAACAATTAAATTATTAACTTATTCATCTCAAACACCAACTTCATATGATGTAAATACAAAAATAATTTTCATTTAATAAAATAAATATATATATTATTTCAGGAAGCATGTAATTTAATAACTCAATTACGCGAACAGATTATTCAACAAATTAAAATTCAAGATACACTTAAAAATGATATCCAACAATTACAACATTGTCATGAAACTGATATACAAGAACGAAAAGAAATGGAAGAATTATTTAATAGAGATTTAACTGTTGCTAAAGATGAAATTCGTAAATAGTTGAATATCATATTTTCTATTGTCATCTTTTTTTCTTCGATAGTTGCTTTACAAAGTCTACGAGATGAATATGAACATATAGTAAATCATAAAAAAGATCTTGAAAAACAACTCGAAGATCGTATTAATGAATTATCAACAATAAAAACTGGAACTACATCATTAACAAATGAATTTAAAGAAAAACTTGAACGAATTAATTCAGAAAAAGTACATATTGATCAAAAGAATAATTAATTCGATTTTTTTTTGTTTTTTCTTAGGAAAAGCTTAATGAAGATAATGCTGGATTACGTATTCAAGTACATAAATTAAAAATGGATTATGAAAATAGTGAATCTGTTCAACATGATTTTGTTAAACTTTCACAATCATTACAAGTTTGAAAGAATATTTATATTATTAATGAAATATTTTTTTAAAGGTTCAATTAGAAGAATTTCGAAATTCTCAATATGAATTACGTTGGCAACCTGAAGAAGATTTTCCGGATTGTCAACGTTGTCATACATCATTTTCAGTTACTTGGAGAAAACATCATTGTCGTAAGTAATTAAATCTTCGAAAAACAGGGATTTTGAGGATGGGTGTGTGGTCGAAAGGGTTTGTTTAGTTTTGAAATCTCCATCCACACACTCGTATGCCCGTTTTTATATTTATCACGCATGCGTAGTCTTTTCTAATAGACGACATGATATCATAATTCTTAGATTTTTGTTTTCGGGAATAAATTATCATTCTATTCTATTTTTTAGGTCATTGCGGTGAGTTTGTATGTGATTTATATGCTTGAATATTATGTTCTTCTTTAAGGTAAAGTTTTATGTAAGGATTGTACTAACAAAACTGTTTATTCTGGTCCAAATAATCGACCTTCTCGTGTATGTGATGTATGTTATACATTATTGGAAAAACATGCTCAACCGTATTTTCTTACTGCTATGCCGAAATATTGATATGCACAATAGACAATTGAAAATTAATGATTTTTTTTTAAAAATATATTTGATGATTATATGTATGTTTATTTACTTTTTGCAACAAAATAAAATAGAGAAAATAAATCATGATTAATTGACTTCAGTTATTCTAAATATAATATGACAATTATTTAGTTAATTGTCACTGTTTTTGCAACGATTATTTTTTCTAATGGTAAGGATATATATGTTACATCGGTGAGAACATCTCAATGAATATTCACGTTCATTTAGAATTGTATCTAAGACTTGATGATATAGTACGAAAATTCATCTATATTTGAATAAAACTGGTAGAAACATGTGATCAATGCTTAATTCATATCCATATTTTATTTACTCAGCTATATCGTTCTTATTAATGAGATTTTTTTCCGTTCACCATATGTTATTAGATATGAGCCACATTCTTATAAATACTCTATTCTTATGTTGAATGCTAGACATTTAACTTATATGAACGTCTTAAAATATCATGTGCATATACTTAAAAGAATATTTGATCTTTATTTAAATTGGCATGTTAATGAAGAAAAATAGGTAGATTTTATGATAATTAATAGTGATATGACTGCTTGTTGACACACATGGAGTTTTATTATTTCCCACTACATATACTACTTCTTGAGAATTAATTTTTTTTCTTCAGCATTTAACCATTTTTGTAAGAATAAAAGTACTCATTTATACAACGAGTGTATATTTGAAACAAAATTTCTTCTCTGTTGTCTTAGCATATTTATAACTATGTTAGAATACACGCTTATTTAACTCATCGAATCAGGTTTGTTTTATTTTAAAACTCATATCATAGTTTTCTTCAGTTTTTTTAAAAAAGATTTTTAATGGATTAATTAAAATCTAGAAGAAATAGATTTAAATGAATGATAAGTAATAGTTTCGCTGCTTTTATTTCGCATCGATTATTCTTGTAATCTTGTGTGTATATATTAATAACAAAAAAGCTTTTCGTCTTATTTTTAGAAATGAACATAATTGTACTTAAAAATATTTGATCTACTTTTAAAGCCGATTCAATCAACTATTCAAATGAAATATTATAAGAAAATCTGCAATTCTTTCAAGCATAGAATAATTAGAACTATTAGAATATAACTATAGAAGGATTATATTATTCTTTTATGAAAATCTTTTTTTGCTACTACAGATGCAAGTCGATACATTTGAAAACGAAAAAAGTCATTGATTTTCAGACATTATGATTTACATTCTCTTCAAATTTTGTTGAAGTCTGCTTTAATTCAATTAGGTAGTTATTTAAAAGTCGGTGATTATTGTTAAATTATCTTCAGCAATATGATTATTTTATATGGAAGTAATTATATAAAAAAACATTGTTAAAATTTTGTACTGACAGTACATAATGCTATTTAAATATATATCTAGTATACAATTCTAGCATTGAGAATTATTTAAGTTAATAATACTTTATTTTATCCATTTTCTGCTTAATCATGCGGAATGGAATGAGTCTAGTGACGACATCTCTATAATGTAAATGATTAGTATTTCAAAAAATAATTAAGAATAATAAAATAAAGTAATATGTTATAGCGTGATTGTTAACATGTCATCACAATATATGAAAATCATACAATAGATTATTGCATTGTGAGAAAAGAGAACTAATTCTCTTCTTTAACATTAGTTTACAATCAAAATATTGATCTATGTGTATATATAGTCCATAAATACTACTACATACTCGAAAATAACTTACATATCAAACAAAGATAGATATTTAGACATCTCTTATAATATTCAACTACAATTCAGTTCATTAATTCGAAGATTGAAATTTTTTTCTCTAAACATAGTCTGTGTCAATTCCTTAACAACACAACTGATATTAAATAACGAGAGATTATGAATGATACTTTTCAAAAGAAGTAATCTTGCTATTAGTCTAGGATAATAACCAATTGAGCTGTTAAACTGTTGAAGCAGTTATTAAAGAAAGATTTTTACCTTTCTCAAAACATGTGCCAAAGACAAATAAAATCCACATATTTTTAGAAATAATGATCTCTGAGATGTTATTCTCTGATATTTTTGTTTAACTCTTTGAGTACCCGACGCTGTTATTCGACAAAAAAATCTCTAGTATGTTCTTTAATTGTTTAGAACATCTTTTTATCGTTTATTAAGTGATATTACACAAGTTAAGCTCTTCTTTCTTTTCTTTTTGCTGGTTAATATTATATATGTGCGTTCTGTCTATTTTCCTTTACTCTAGTACATTTCAATACAATCACTTATCTTCTATCTTTTTGAATATGGTAGTATATACAATGCATTTGTTTCTCACACAATGCATAAGAAGACTTCTTTGCATCTATCTGCTTTTCGGCTTGAAATAATTAGAAAAGTTTTGGCAAAGTACGAACCACAACGAGCGACTACTATTGAAAGACCACCTACAAGAGATTCTCCTATTCGTCTGACCGCTTGACATATCCTTTCACTTATTCCACAAACATCGTAATCAAAACAGTGTCTAAGAAAATACATCATTTGCACATCTCATAATATTCGTATCATACACGATACCATAGAAAAATGAACTGCTAATGATCTTTAACATAAAAATAGTCGAGACGCAAAGAGTTAATCATCTAACACTAAAATAATTACCTTCAACAAAATCATAAGCAAAGCAAGTATAATTTTCAATGTGCGATTATTTACTTCGGCAAGCAGATGTTCAGAGAAGTATGACGTTAATATAATTTACAAAAAGTCTGAAAAGTATTTTTTTTCTCGTAAATATATATATATATATATATGATCTTCTATTTTACATGAAAAGCATTCAATACTGTCATTTTATCTGAGATTCTTAACAACATCATCATTTATCACAATAACATAAACTATCTTCATTTCTTCTTCTAAGAAATCGGCATGGCAGATATACCACGTATCTTTGCTATTCTAAGAGCTACTGGCTATGGATTGTGTGTTCTTCTTGCTATCATTTATGCTATTCCAATCTTATTTCTTCGTCGATTCCGTCATCGTAATAATATACTTACATTAAATATTTCTTTGGTTGTCATGTTTTCTTCTGCTTTTTGGTGTATGTATTTTACTATGTATGAATTCTATCCAGATTATTTGTTTCGAAATGCAACATGTCCTATTCTATTCTTTGCAATAATTATATATACTTGTCAATTACCATTTACCTTCCTCATGATTACTATCAATCGATTTTGTTCAATTATTTATACTGCAAAACCATTTTTCAAAACAAAAAAGTTCATAGCTATATGTATCGCAACTCAATGGGTAGGTGGCTGTTTGATCGCAATACCATTTCCAATATTTATCCAACCGGTAAGAACTTTTTCTTTAGAAAATCAATAGTGATCTGAATGAAATTTGATTATTTTTAGAATTGTGTTCTTCCTCCATGGATGATGATGTATGTGTTGATTGTGGTCGAAATAATTCCACCAATTGTTA